GTGGTGCTGGGGGATTGAACCGTGGTCCCTGATGCTTTGCCAAGCTTGTTCTAAGTAGGTGCTTTAGACCACTGAGCCATCTCTCCAGCCCCTAAACCTCAGTTTTAATTAAATGAGTTAATTGGTCTTGAAAGTCCTATTTGTTTTCTTTAAATCCTTTGTCTTTGTTATTTTGATTGACACATTATAATTGTACATATTTATGGGGCACAGTAAGGTTGTGATATGCAAGCACATTGTGTCTACTTGATTGATGCTGCTTGATGGATGTTATGATTCATATCTAGATGTCCTCCAAGACTCTTAGGCTTTCACAGATAAGGGCTTGGGGAGGTAGTGGTATTATGGGAGTTTACAGTTTCCTTGCTGTCGGAGGGTGGGGCTGGTCAGAAGAAGGCAACAAGGGGAGTGCGGCTTAGCCAGATTTCTCTCCCTCCTTAGCTCATTCCTTGTCTTCTCTTTCTGTTCTGCCTTGCAGTCTGAAGCTGTCTTCTATCATATCCTCCTGCCATGCAGTCTCAGTTACTTTTCTCTCATTGCTGAGACAAAATACCTGATGTCTACAATTAAGGAAGGAAAGGCTTATTTAGCTCACAGTTAGCTGAAGTTTCAGCCCATAATCAGTTGTTCTAAGGCAGAGTGGGAGGCAGGAGGACAACAGTGGAAGATGGCAGAAGACAACAAGAGGAAGAAGAGGTGGGGGTTGCATGTCTTATTTCCCCCTTATATTGTAAGCAGTTGACCACCCCCTAAGGCAGGTCTAGGACTCACACCATCTCCGTGCCCTCTTTTTGCACACAGTGAGGACCCTGGTGCCCTGCTGAGTTGCTAGTTCGACTTCTGAACTCAAGTGGACACAGCATGTCAGGTCATCCTGCCATGAAACTGCCCAACCATGCAAAGAAGGAAATTTTAAAATGTGAGCCAACATAAGCCTCTCCTCCTTTCAACTGTGTCAGGAATTAGTCCCTGAGATGAAAAAAGTGATGAAGACATGGGCTTAGGAGCCACCTAGAGTATTAGCAAGGCACACTTTGGGGTGTGTCTGGGGGGTGGTTGTGGAGGTGTGGATGTGGCTGCTGCATTTGGTCCCCACCCCTTGCTCCCTGGCATTGCTCTGCACCATTCCTCAGCCACCATGAGCTAATCAGCTGTGCTCCACCATGTCCTTCTGCCGTGCATGCTCTGCCTCAAAGCTGGCTGGCTGTGGAATGACCTCCCTGAAGCTGAGCCAAGTCAAGCATCTCCATAGACGATGGTGTCTGTCACTGTGTCCCAGCAATGGGAAACCTGACTAATGCAGCGAGGTCGCCATCCCTGAGTACACTGTGTCATGATCAGACTTACATCATTTGCTTGTTTTTCATCCTAAACTAACATCATTCTTTACACAGGGTACTTTCAAATTCCTGTTGCGTAGCTACTTGGCGTAGACAATGCATTATTGTCAGCAATATTGAGCCTTATGTGAAGTAGGACATTAGGGCTCATTCTTCCTGATACAATGGTGGACCAGTTGTCCAACCTTTGCTCTTCTTTCCTCTTATGTAATGTCTTTAATTAGGCTCCAGCAGCTATGGCTGCTACTCCAGTGAGTCATATTTCCAATACAGATGTGTCTCACAAAGTTATTTAGGATGCATAAACTGGAATATTTTTATGTATTACTTGAAAAAAATATGCAGTCCCCATGTGTACTATACACAAAGCATATTCTTACGCAAATAGTAGGCTTCTCGCATCTGTAGTATTTCTCCATTTGTTCTTGAAGCCAGTATATCAATGAGGCAGTTCTCATCAGTCCCTGCTCCCTGGAAAGACAGAGAGAAAGTTAAGGCTATTTTTATTTGGAATAATAGTTGATCTTATGTACAATAAAGGAATATAGCGTTTTTGATGTTCTTTAAGATGACAGAGGAGAAAGGAAGTTTATTTGGGATAAAAATATATCTGATTTTAGTTCTGGTTCTGCCATTTGCTAACTATCCCAGATAACATTATCTGAAGTAAATTCTGCTCCTCATTTTGCATGAAAGGCCTTTTTCTACCTATGTGTTCAGAGGACTGACTCTGTAACAAATCTGTAATGATATATTGCACTGAAATTACTTTTCTGCAAAGAACAAATCATTCTCATTGTTCCAAAGTAAAATTTTGATGCTTTTAAGCAACAATTTTTGTAAAGGAAATTTAAAATCATCAAAATAGCAATTACAATGACAAAAGTAACAATGACATTTATAGTTTGTCTCTATGTTAGCATTCTCTTTTGATTCTGAGCCAACTCTGTACATATAGTCGACAAGAGTCATGTGGTTTGCAATATACACCCTCCATTTCTGAATCTGTACCAAAGACTGACAAACCTAACTGCCTCTCTGAGCTAGTTTGCTCTTTCCTGCAGGTAGCCTGATTTTGAATGAGCTCAGTATATCTGAATTTGTATAACATAAACCAAGTTCATCCCAGCCACAGAACCCTGATGACTCCTCTCTCTTGATCAAAACATTTTATTGCTGGTTACACCTGTGCTTAAATTTTCCCTTCTTTCTCCCCAGTTACATAAGTATGTAGAAGTAGCATCAGGCAGCTACCCTCTATGGAAACCTTAGCCTGTGCCTGTTAGGGAGTCATTCTGTGTTAGACCATTACCTTCATGGCGTGCCAGAGCTCATGGGCATCGTAAGAAGGGGGCGGGTACATGAGCCCCACCATAACCTCTTTGAAGTGAGATGAAAGTTGCTCCTTCAAATCCCCGATCAGGTTCTGTGGAGGAAATGTAAACATTTTCATGACACCAGCTACCAAATTTACAGGAGAAATGGGGAAATTTCAGGAAATAGCCTATTAAAATTTCTTTTCCATGTCTTTTTGCATAGTGACAAGTCTGGTTTTAATTCACATGCATACTGTTGTTTACATGAGACAGAGGAGCCAATGGGCTTGAGGGTTTGAAAATGACTGAGTCCATAAAACAGAGCATGTGTACACTGAGGTCAGATCAACAGAAGAGGGTTTTCTTTGCCAGGTCTCCAACCCTGACCCTCCCTTGATATCCTTATGAATATACAGAAAAGATAA